ATATATATATATATACATTTTTAAGAGAAATATATATATAAACGCATTTTGGGTTTTTGTTCGTTCGATTTCTCAACAAGGTAACTTAGTTGGTACAATTCTTAGTCGGTTCTCTTGAGAATATTTTGGAAGAGTTGTAGAAAAACATGTCTTTGATGATTTTGGTATAGTATTGTGTGAGCATCAAAATGTCATAGAAGAGTGTAAAATATGTTTTGAAGGGAGACAAATGAGTTACGATGTGCTGTACAAACAAGTACTCATAAGATGAGTTAAATTGAAATATTTCATTAATTATTATTAATAAGTGATAATGAAGATATTAATCCATCGATACCAAAGGACCACTCGCACAAATAAGTCTGTATTCCTCTCTACATAATGTAAAGTTATTTGTTATGATATCATCAAAAATAATTTCTAAACAATTAAAAATACAATGTGATCATTTCAGCAATTATGTATGCGCAATTTAAATGAAAACAACGATAGTTGATTCCGTTTTCGTGAAATTTCAGCATTTTCAGTACAACTCGAAAGAAAAGCACACGGTTACACCGAGGGGAAGGAACACTACAATACCGATTCCATAGGAACTCGATTCCGGAATCGAATTGATTGACTCGGAAATATCTTAATCATTCGCTTATCCACCATTAAGTTACTACACACACGCAGTTTCGTAGCCGACTGTTCTCATAACTGTTGTGATCGATTTTCACATGAGGATTGCTTTGCCCGCTTGACTGTACATGACTGGCCAAGAAGAGTCAAAAAACAGCGTACCCATTGATTTCACGTTATTTTGGGTAATAGTGTGCATGAAAAATTGCCTTTGGCCTTACAACAGTACTTGATCATCTCCGCTGCGACCGTCGTCGTTAGGTTGCGACTGGGAACAAAAAGAAGTTCAGCGGAAAGTGAGCTTGCTGCGATACAGTGTGCGCATATTTACGTAGCACAGGAATATTTTTATGGGTCGAGTGCTTTACCAGGAATATCAATTGTTCCAGAAATAATTTCTAGTCAGTTTGTAATAACTGGCACTTTCGCTCCCAATTACTAGTTGCTGTAATATATTACCTGTCTTATTTGTGCTGTATAAATACTAAATCTGATGCAAATTTTAATATGAATTATTATCAGTACATTACTATAAGCTCTCATTCAATTTGAGAACAAAATTGGATGCGAGTAGATGCTGTGGAGGATGCATTCATATTTTTTCCAAATTTTATATTATTAGTTAATTTTTCCGAAGAGTAAACTAAAATATTGTTTCTTCAGTGAATATTTGTTGGTATGTGATTTCTGGAAAAGGATATGGGATCTGAATTGAAAAATAATATTCAATTCAGAGGTGGTCGCAGCAGATATTTCGTGATACTTTATGTTTTGAATTAAAAAATAATCAAACCGCAACAATTGAAAGTTTTACGATTTTTAGAAGTCTACTTTCGGGAACACTTTGTCCATCTTCAGTAATTCTATAACAATGGAAAAGGAAATGTATAAAACATTAAAGCAAGGAAGGACAAAATAAATACACGAAATAAATTTGTACAAAAAATTAATAAGAAAAAATATTTTATAAAATCACTTACTATCCGAGCAACGTGTATCACACTACAAAATATCTAGCTAGTGTCCATCTGTTGGGTGTTGGATAGAAGTTCGCTTGGTTCTCATGACTAATTCGGCTTGGTACCAACGGGGACACGAATTCGACGAGTGACGTGGTTTAATGCTGGATTGTTACTGCCGCCACGAGACACTTCTTTGAGTCCGCCCCTGGCCGGAGAGCTAGGAAATGGCCGAAGAGGTTCCGATTGTCGCCGGTGCTTGGTATGGAGGGGAGAGAGTGCGAGAGAAAAGAGGAATGCGTCTTAAGACGATTCTCCAATGTCCGTCGCGTTGTACGTCAGCTCACCATCCAGCACGCTCGAAAGGCCATTGTGTGGGAGCCAGTGGCTACCCGAGAGCGTACGATGTTGCATGCAGGTGCGTTAGCGTACATGATAACGATCGTTGCACGGTGGGCAGCCGAGTCGGCTTGACGAGGAGGGGAGGCAGTGCCAGAGAGAGAAGGGCAATACCTCCACTGTTGTTCCTACACGACAGTCATGGCCGTCAGCTCACAATCTATCGAGCTAGAAACGCTATTTGTACAGGTGTTGGTTGGCAAGAGGTTCTTTAGAAACCCTTCAAATGAGAAAATTGTTAATTTTAATGCCCGTTTCCGCTAAGACTTCAAATTTAGTGTCGGATCAGTTTTGTATAGAAACAATAAAAGTACGGTTTTGAATCATTGACTGCAAGCTCGAAAGAACGCTACCGTTTAAGGTTACAGATGCGGTGCTCAGTTTATCTGCGACTGTCCTAGTCGAAGGGACAACGCCAGACCGACAAAAGTGTCTCAGGGCATCAATAACTGTCATTGCAGTGTTTTTGACCGGAGGTCCTAGGGATCCAGTCCCGACGGTGGCAGAACTTTCGACACAAGCTACAGAGATCGAATTCAGCCGCTTTCGGGGAGAAGTCTAGCGCACAGCTGCCACGATCGGTAGTTTTCGTGATCGTTATTTTTGCGTTCTTTCCCACTTCTTCCTTGTTCTATCCTCAACCCGTATTACACACTCTCTCTCTCTCTCTCTCTCTCTCTCTCTCTCTCTCTCTCTCTCTCTTTAATGCACTACACTAACGTGCATGTCGGGGCACCTTTCAGGAGCTTACCGCTGGTCTCGGCTGGTGCCACGTTGGTGGGAAATGTCTGTTTGGGGAAAACCACGCGAGCCGACGGGGACGTTCGTGCCCGATCTCGCCATCCAGTGGGGGAAAATCATCGCCACCTCACGCGATAAAAAACATGCACTAGATTTACGAGACTAATGACGGTAGCAGTAGACGCGCCTGGAATCACTAATCAGTCAATCAAGGACAAAGCCGGGTGGGAATGCTAGTACAGTACGACTAGTATAGTCCTGCGTCGCGTCCTGCGTCGCGCCCTGCATCGCGCCCTGCGTCGCGCCCTGCGTCGCGTCCTGCGTCGCGTCCTGCGTCGCGTCCTGCGTCGCGTCCTGCGTCGCGCCCTGCGTCGCGCCCTGCGTCGCGCCCTGCGTCGCGCCCTGCGTCGCGCCCTGCGTCGCGCCCTGGGCCGCCCCGGAGCGCAGGGTCTGTTGGCAGTTGCCCCCGCGGCAGTCTTCCTCTCGGGTGCGTTGCACCCGCGGCCACCGGGGAACCGGCTCCGGGCGTCGATTGCGAACGCTCGGCCGCGCGGCCCGGGAGCTGCGGTGGGCACTTCGCGAAGTTGTTGGTCAGTTTTATTGGTCGCGTTTGTGTGTGATTTTTTGTATAGATTCTGTTTGCTCTGTTAGGAATTCATTCTGAATGTTTTAGTGTTGTTCAACTTATCAAGTAAAAAATGTGAGAATGTACCGTATAGCACTATACATTGTTTTAGCAACACAATTTTTTTGGACGTCGTGCGTCTTGCTAAACTTGATAGTCGATGTTGTAGAGGTACATTTACTTTTGTGTGTTTTGATCTCTGGCCATGCAGTTTTTGTAAATAAAAATGTAACCTACACTGAGAATGACCACGGAGTTGTCCAGATTCATTGATAAGTGAAGCCTCGTCGTACACGTCGTGCTAAGGAACGCGTTTCGCTGTCATGTGTTCTTCTTAGATCGAAAGGTTTTTTAGAACTATTTCTTGTAGAATAAAAGTTGGGTGGAAAAACAATGTGTGAACCACTGGTTGCGAGATGCATGAGAACGCTGCGGACTTGCTGTTGTAGTGCCATTGACACTGAGAAAAAGTTCTTTACACGAGTTGGACTTTTCATCCAAATGTGCTGCGTTTTGTGGAATCGAAATTGTGGACTGGCTTTAGCTTAAAGTAGACAGTAACGTCCTAGCCTGTAGTAATAAGAACGTGATTTTACTTGTATGGCGACGCCATATTTCCTTTAAAAAGCTGTGTAATCATTCTTGTAAATAATGCACAATTTGGCGTGATGCTTTGAACATTTTGATGGGCGATTTCGATTAAGAAGGGAATAACGTATTTCTTTTAATCGTACTACAGTCAACCCTTGTCATATATTCGCACCAGGCAGGCGTGCAAGCCAGGCCAATCGGCACGAATCTGTTCCACGAGCGCCCGCTGGCCGGCGGCGGTGGAGACGGCGACGGCGACGGACGGCGGCGTTGGCTGCGCCCGGGCAGCGGGGCCGATGCGTAAGGTCAGGACCCGGCGCCGTATCTCTCTCGCCGCTCCTCTTCGACCGCCCTCCCAACCCCAACCCCGGCCCCCGCCCGCCCCGCGGCTCCTCGCCTCGCCCGCGGCGGGCAATTGCCCCGATGATACTTTCTGTTCGTCGCCTTCGTTTTGGTTCCCGCCGCCGCCGCCGCCGCCCGAGGCTGTGGCCTGGACGGCGGCGGTGGCGGGGCGGACTCGTTGCAGGACGCTGCGGGCGCCGCCGCCGCCGCCGTCGCCGCCGCCGCCGCCCTCGCCGCTCCGCAGACGCTCCAATCAGCGCCGGGCGCTTCGCCCGCCGTTTCGCTGCGCGGCGTTTACGCGACGCGAGATTGCCGGCGGGCGAGGACGCGAGTGGCGCACGATGTTGGTTTTAAGAGAGCTAACGGCGCGCTTCGAACACCACCCGCGTGCTGCGCGAGGTGACGCTTTCCAAACTTACGAAGTACGAAAGTTACGAAAACGTTTGTGATGGGTGTAGTGATCATTTTATGCACAGCATGGGAAAAGGAGATCAGAGGTGATGGTTCTTCGTGCTACTGACAATTGTGTGTGAACGAGATATTCCGTCGACTGTGGCTTTGACATGTTTTTTTCCCCTATAAGATTTTTGCTCTTGATTGTAGACAAGGTGTTGTGTTCACAAAGAATGTATCCGGAAATAAAATTGTTTCATCGTTGGACTTTTCATTCGCTTTTTATCACTCTATTTCGCTGTTCACATGGATTAGTGTTGATTAATTTATGAGTTTTTCTTACGTGCAGTGTAAATTAATGTACCAGAGTGTGTGAGCTTTTTGTGTCTATGTACATAATTTGGTACTTGTATTCAAGGTATTTATGTCAAATACTGTTTTGGGTATTTAACAAATACTTTAGAAGTTACAAATATTCCAGATGGAAATAAGAATACAAATTCAAAATTTGCTTTAGAGGCGGAAATAAATTGGACGAAAATCTTGCCGAACCACACGTTTCCCCTCTTGGAAAATGACTTTTTTTGTTGCGTTCAATAATCGCCGAAGTATTTCCAGTTTATGTACAGCCATTCGTTTTATACGCCTCTTATATCTCTTGCTACTTGGAAGAGAAGCCAACTTGCTTTAAAGTTTGTGATCTCTGTAAGTGGCAAGATCACGCCCATGCACTCGCACAGTGACTTCATTCCTAACGCCTGGCCACGCGCGCATTAGTGTTTACACTTGGAATCCTCCAGCGAGTTTTCGAAATTAAAGAAGGAATGCGATATAAAAATGCTGTGTCACGATGCAAATACGTTATGCTGGCTTGGCTGTGGAAAGGACCTGAAGGTGCTACGTGCAGTTTGTGCCGGAAAGACCTTTCGAGGATTTGCGAACTTGGATTATACGTTTTCGTTTTGTGGAAGAGGCCCCAGATTGATTTACTGCTTGTTTAGTTACAAATTGCGCGCCCGTCAAATTTTTCGAACACGTAGATTTTGTTTTACGGGGTTGTACAATCTACCTGGTTGTAAACCAGGAAACACGAGTTTTGTCTTGTTAATTTCCGCCGCCTCGTGTAGTATGTCTATTGAAACTTTTTCTGACGAGGGGATTTAAGTGCTGAATACATCTTTATAGCAACACACAAGTTGAGCTGAGAGCGCGCGCGCCGGCGCGTTTTCTCGCAGCCTTATATAAAGTTTTCCTTCCCGAGCTGCAGGTGGGAGGTGGGACCGCTTCTGTGATGTAAAATACCGCCGCCAGGTGGAAACTGCCATTAACGAATTAGTAGTGTCTGTCGTTCCCGGAATGTTTCACGCGTCAAAAAATTATAGTAGGAGTTTCCATGTAAAGCTGGCTAATGACCGACGGGAAACGCGAAATTACGGAGACGTTTTACAATTCGAAGAATCTTGCGGTTGATTCGCGAGAATGAAGTGAAGTGGAGGCAGTGCTTTCGGCCGGGATGTGGTTTGGGTACGTAATGAAGTATTGCACCTGCGTTTCACGTCGGTCTTAACGCAAATTGTGTGTTCACCCACTGTCGATCGTGTTGTAGTCGTAACATGCGCACTGAAATTTATTCAACAGTTGTTGAACTGAGCAAGCTTGCTTAAATAATTACCATAGGATTGTGAATTGGCTCTGGCTTTCTCTACGTACATAATAGTCATGTACAGTCGTTACCAGTGCATCTTTGGCACTCAAGCCGCTTTTAGATTGTTGCAACTTGGCAACAGTCTGTTTCCTTCGGACTGAATACACTTTTCCCCATAGTACGTCCCACAGTTTTTAACTGTTTTTTGAAGTTAAAGAAAATAACTAAGAAAGACGTTATCCATTTTTGAATTTTAAGCTTATTTCTACTCTCGGTACATCGCCATTTGTTGTATGCATTATGATTTGTAGTGCGACGACAAATGGGTATGTATTCTCCAGCGAAAAAAAAAACAAACCAAGTCAATGAAACCGTTGAGCTAATGAGCGCTGTAGTGCGATGGAAGTTCATAAAAGTAATGTGGAACACCCGAGCCAGTAACCCCACCCTCCCGCCAGACAAGTGCGTCACCGCCCTTCCAAACGCCTCGCGCGCAGCGCTACCGGATTTGCTATCGAACCGGAAGTCCGGTGCTCGGATGAACGTGACGGCGTCTCGTCGGCCGTGCGGGTTTACGCGGAACTTGTGCTTAACGCCCGGCCCTTTCCGCCCTGCTTCTCCTCCTCCTCCTCGTCCTTTCCTGCCTCTCTCGGCGGCGGCGCGGCGCGGCAGTCCCGCGAAATCACCCAAAGTCGCTCGCCTCGCCGTGGCTGCCGTCGCGGATCTTCCCCCGCCCCTCGCCCTGCCCCTCCTCCGGTTCGAAACCCACGCGGCTCCCTCCTCCCGCCGCCGCCGCCGCCGCCTCCCGGCCCCGCGTTTTCGCGCCACCGCGGCCAAGGACGCGGGTCGCGGCCACTGCCGCCTCCGTCGCCATCGTCGCCATCGTCGACGTCTTCTCGTAACCGCGCCGTTTTGCGCCTCGTTACTTCCGATAACGAGGCGTGGGCACCGGCAGTGCATGCGGGGATCCGCGGTGTATCCTGTTCGAAACGCAATCGAACGCTTTCCGTTGCACGGGGCGGCCAGAAGCACATTGGTTCTGGACTGACAAGTTTTCGGTTGGGAATTGATTAAAGAAGTTCCTGTTTATTTTCTTGGCGTGAGAAACGAGTCATTACTGATGAAGTGAAGAAAGTTTAAACAAACACCTTTCAAATTTGACATGTTTAATAATAATAATAATAATAATAATAATAATAATAATAATAATAATAATAATAATAATAATATTAATGATGATGATGAATAAATCATTTGCAATCCTTCAGTATTTTGATCACACTTTTCAGTAGACGTCTACCAAATGCCAAATTTTAAGGTTTCACATAACACAACATTTTACCACCTCCAGTGTGGTCGCTGCAAAGTAAAGTTGAGCAACTAAATAAAGATGTTACTAAATTAATAGCGCTGTAAAGTGAAAATGTCATCCGCCCAGTTTAATTCAAAAGTGTCTTTTCAGTAGAGGTATATCACTCGCTCCGTACCTATTGTTAATAAAACAAAAGTTGTTAATGCAGCTATTAACTTGGCGTGGTGTTGACCGTGAGTATCTATAATACAATACCCCTTTTCATTTATTAAATGATTAATAAAGCAGCACATATCGGAGTTAAAAGTACTTTATCCTTTGCACTAAAACGTTCAACTTGCGCAAAAGTGGTCCGTAAATGATGCATAAAATATCAATTTAAAAAGACATCGTATTATTATTATTATTATTATTATTATTATTATTATTATTATTATTATTATTATTATTATTATAATTATTGTCATTACATAGACTCACAAGAATGATGTAAACGGTATGAAATAATTCTTGAAGCACCTCATTGGAATAAAGTATTCATAATTTAATCGTATTACAGATATTTTAATCTTTGTGAGATTACGTTGCACTAAGTAGGTGAGTGAGCTTTGGAAAACTTGCCTTAACAAAACATTTTATCTTACGGTGTATAGTTGTTTTGGATGTATCTATTCGTTTCATCTTCCACATTCCTCACGGTAGATCAGAATAAAATTACTTTAAAACTACTACTACTGCTACTACTATTAAAGAGAAGGTAGAGTAGGTTTGCAAATTATTTGACGACGCAATCAGTAAGAATTTGAATGCGAAAACTGAGAAACAGTCATTAATTAACTCGTGTAACCTAATTTCAGAATTGTTTAAAAAGATAATTTGTTCGTACTATTCACTAAACATATTTTAAGATAATTTTTAATAATGCAAAGATTAGTTCAGTTGTGTAAAGGGCTTTGCTCTTTGTTCATGCTCAGGGCCCTTGAAGAAGTTTCTGCGGCAGTAGGGGGGGGGGGGTTGTCCTTTGCGTATTACGAGTGAGAAGTCCAAAGGTGTGGGGGGGGAGGGGAAGCTAGCCTAGGCTTCTATCTCGCCTGTCGTGGTGGAGCCCCGTGTAACACTGGGCGGGGGCCCGCATCGTAACCGCAAGGTCTCTCGAGAAACGCGATGCCCGCCGGTCTGAGCGCAGCGCAGCGGCGTGCAGACTCCCCGACCAACTCGCGCGGTGGCCGGACGGAATGGAGTGGTTTAGAATGTATCTAGGTAGATCAGAATAAAATTACTGTGAAAAGAGTAGGTAGAGTTGGTTTGCAAATTATTTGACGACATTCTGTTTTACTGGATTGCCAATGCAATCAATAAGAATTTCGAATGCGAAAATCCCTGGACTACTACCCTGATATCAGGGCCGTTTGAGCAACGTTGGGGGCCCCTGGGCTTACGTTGGTTTCGGGCCCCCCTGTTCTTACTATCACAGATCTCCCCCCCCCCCAATGAAGACGAGTTTTGTTAAAAAAAATTAAACATCTCATCACTAAGAGACATTCTTGCATCAACCAGCAACATTCCGTATTATAAATATTATCCAATTATGCGCCACACGTCACTCCGTTATGACACTTCTTTGGGTATAGTTTAATCACATCACACTTTTTGTAAGTTCTTTTTTTAATTTTTGAAAAATGTATAAAATATTTATTTCAGGAACTATCAGAGGCCCTTGAACTTTAGGAACCCTAGGCCCGGGCTCGTACGTTGACACGCACGGCATTACACGCCTGCATGAAATGCCAGGTAGTAACGATCGAAGTTTTTCAGAATGTTAAGTTTTTGTAACACAATAATGGGCTCAACATCTGATAGACACTATCCTAAGTCTGTGACATCTACCTGCAATAATTATCTTTATTAAGTAACCTGTCGAAATTTGATAAAAAATAAGTTTCTGCTTTTCCAAGAGTGTTTTAAAAGCGTTTTTCGATGATCAATTGTCTCATCTCAGAAGGCTATAGTCTCCTGCTTAGTGTCAGTGAGCATAGCGAGGCGATCAGAGTTTTACGGATTAAAGAAGGAAGACCAATTACCAGAAGTTATTTGATGCTATGTAATGTTTATGTATTCCGTATTAAGATGTGCATACCTATTGCATATTCATGGAGAATTGCGAATTCTGCATTATTTGCTTTGACAATAATAACAAAACAATAGTACCAAAAGTAAATTGAAATATGAACTATACACCGAATTGTTTAACAAAAGGACGATTCTTCTAACACGAGAACTAAAGAGAGTTCTTCAAGAGAAAAATCTTGAATGGATTGGGAATTTTCCTCGCTCTTTCCTGCCACATGTAACTCATCTACTTCTTCAAACTATGTGCTCGCCATGCCGCTTCTTTTGCGGAAAATTGTACATTGTAATAATCGCTTTACAGTTTCGAAACTGATTTTTCTCTGGGGAAGTACATGTTGTACTCTGTAACGCATTTTCAAGAAAAAAAACTCAGCACTTTGGCAACAGAAACGATGTACTACGTGAAAAACCTGGCAAGAAACAAATATTACCTGTCGCGTGCGGTAACTTCTTTGTCAGAAACGATAAACATTAGCTCCTTACATACTAAACCAACATTCTGGATCAGGACTGATGGTAGACATTCGTGTAAAGTGTGGTAAAGACGTCCCCCGATGCGGTACGGAGGCCACAGTCGTTAGCTGGTGACCTCTGGGATTCCCACTCGTACTGAAAGAAGAGGTGCTGTAAGGAGGCGATGGCGACGCTCCGGGAGGGGGATACAGAAGCGCCAATATGAAGTGCGAGATGCAACAGTCAGCGTTGCATCACAGTTGGCCGAAACCTCGCATCTTGCACAGAACACATGCCGAGAGTTCATTGACGCCGGTAACGAAGCGTAGCTGTCTAAGGGATGTTTCTAGGCCTGTCATACCTTGGAGGTGGCAGACACCTACCGGAAAGCGCATGGAAAAAGCGGAAGTTACAAACGGAACAGAAAAATACTCTTGAGGAATAAAAAAACATATTTTTAACATTTTAAAAGTGCCGAAAGACTTGGGGGTGCAAGACACAACTCACATCCATTGAGCCTATGCTACTGCTATAGAATTTTCTTGCAACACTTTACCTGGTTAGCTACGAACATCACTCGTACCCGTTGCGTCCTCTTGTTTGTTTTATATGTCATAGCGCTAGAATTTCCGCTGTATTGCTGTTCACTTGCCATTGAGGGCATAGTTGGAGGGTCTGGGATTTCCACAAGAGGCCTCCTCCGCGGCCTTAGTCAAGCTGTGCCGATTCGTCACGCTTTGTTGTGGTTTTGCATATTTACCACAGATATCTTCAGGAGCCGTGTTTGCCTTATCTCTCTGCCCTAAGAAACTGAATCACGCATTACGCACCGCTCTTTCCTTCGTCATGTGCTGTCCTTAATTCTTTCACGGCGCAAAGGTCGCTGTCGTGAATGTTCTTATAGATTCAGTTTTTAAAAATTTTGAGCCTCTTTTAGTGCTAAGCTAGGGTATTCACTTTCCTATTGGACATAGTATCGTAGTTAATGTAATTATTTAGAATTTATGTAGGGGGTAAAACATATTCATTTCTTTTCAGGTCACGCATTCTATTAATGTTGTTTACATGCACTCAGTTGTGAAGTCTATATTAACACTATCTCAAAACATCAAGGTATTTCAAATACAAAGATTCCGAATAGAAAGCATGAAAGTCACTTGAACAATTGAAAATATTAATGGAGCAAGTACCAACATTTGTTTTCGAGTCTAGAGATATGTCACAATAGCTGTGGAAACTAAATTATTTGTTAGAAAGTTTTGATGTCTTGTGATGTTACATGTTGTTGGCACATTAATGTTTTTTATACACGTCAATCTAATAATATTTTTTTGTTTTACGATTATGTCTACACATCTTTAACTCAAACACAAAGTATAGTGCAAAAGCTTCCGTTTTTCTTTTTCGCGTATTAAATATAAATGATACACGCTATGCAGTCTTTTTTGGGGTAAAATGCCAGGCGAGCATTGCAGTGAGCGATGTGAGGAAGACGGATGTGGATGACGGGCGAAAGTAAGGCTAAGGCGCGGATGGAGTTCCCGCGCAGTGGAGGCGGCATGCGGGGGCGGCGCCGGCGCCGTGCGAGGAGTGGCTGGAGGAATGGAGGGCGCGAAGGCGAGGCGCCGCCGGGGGATTCCGGGAGACGCAGCGGCTGGGGCTGACGCGAGTAACCGATAGCTCTGATCGCGCGATGCAGCGCTTTGAGCGCCCGCGTCGGGGGCGGCCTGGAAAAAGGGATCTTGTTTTACTGCGCTGTGATCCTTCGACCGACCGCTTCACTTCTTCCGTTTTTACACCCTCGCTCTCTTCCTTCTTTTGATTTCTTCCTGGTCTATTTCACTTCTTTTCCCCGTTTGGACTTTCTCGCACACTACATACAAATTAGAGTTACGTAATGTTGTAGGTGGTTTTGCGAGTGTAAAATCGAATTGTAGGTACTTGATTCTGAAAAAGTGATCAACTCTTGTCCTTATGTATATAGTAAATTACTTCTTCCAGTACGTTGTGTAGTCGAAATTATCGTTTTGGGGGGCGTTGATACCGAAAAAAGGGTTTCCAGTAAAATATGTCAATCAGTCGGTCCTTCAATCAGTGAGTGTGTCAGTCAGTTAGTCAGACAGACAGTCTTACTTGCAATCTGTCTGTTACATTCTATAGAAAATCGGTATTTGCACGCTAAAGAACGTAAATGTCAAAAGGCTAATATGGATGCGCTTTTAGTATCTTGAATTACTCATAGATCAAGTGAATACGAAAAAAAAACCAGACGTTCTTCAAATTTAGTAAGTTCCAAGGCAATAGGTACGCAGGTCGTTGCACAATTATTATTAAAAATACCGTAATACGGATGAAACACTGCACTCCTTAGGAACAACGTCAAAGCAGCAATACAACTCGACAGTTCTATGCTCCCAGTGTGTCCCCTTGCGATGCGTTCAGGCCTCCCGTGCGACCACCACCTTTCTAGCCTCTGCCACCTGTGCTCTTAAGTTTCGCGTTCGCCGAGATCTCCCGCCCCGCCTTCCACTGGAGCGATCGCTCCTGTCAACAAAGCCGCGTGGCGTGGCGTCGCGTGGCGCGGGGTCGCCCTGGGCGTGCGTAGCGCGCGCGCAGCCGGACGCAATCTGGGTCGCCTCCGGCCAGGCCTCCGCCCAGGCCTCCGCCCCTGCCTTCCGTCCGGCGCGACGGGGCAAAAGCGCGCATGCATAATGGAGTAAAAGCGCCGCGCTGGCGAAATGTATGGCGCTCGAGATAATGGAATCAAACTCGTTATGAATCGTGGCTTTTTTTGCGTTCTACCTCGCGCACGAATGTGTGTGTGTGTGTGTGTTTTGGAAGGTTACAAACGTTTCTCTCAGAGGAGGGGTTCTGGGTGAGTGTGTTTTTCATTGGCATATTTAAAGAGAAAGTCCACGTCTTTCTGATGGAAGTAGTAATTATTGAGGCGTTGAAAGTATCAAATAGCAGAAGGCTGGCTTCTTAATATAAATGTAGAAATAAAGACTGACTTCCTTGAACCACGTTTGAGGCTCCGATCTAGAGTAGTGAATCTCTGGTGGGATTGAAAAGTTATGGGGTCTCTGTCGGTCCCGTCTGTCGGTCCCGTCTGTCGGTCCCGTCTGTCGGTCCCGTCTGTCGGTCCCGTCTGTGAACACTAACTCCTAAACAATACCTAGGTTTTCTTTGCCAAAATGGATATTCCCCGGTCGATATAGCTCCGCTCGAGGAGCTTTTCTTTAAATTTCTTTTAAAATTTGAGTGAATTTCTTTTAAAATTCACTGATAATAGGTGGCGTAGGTCCTATTTCCAGGATTAACTCTAAATATTTGAAAATTCTAAAAGTTTGAAAATTTCCGGGCGTTTTTCGACAGCTACAAAATTGAAGATCTAGATTTTTCCTTCAAATATAATTTGTTCTTCGTAGTGAGTTCTTTCATAGAGGTCAAGGACATTTTTTGAAAATTTTGACTATTTAAAGTCACTTCCGCATCTTAAACGTATCACTAAACTAAATTTGTTCACCTTTATCGTGCATTTCCCGATTTTTTTATTGTTTAGAGAATACTTTTACTTCGGCGCTTTAATCATACCTTTTGGAAATCGCAATACTCTGCGTACATTCCAAAATTTGAAAATTGCATTGATTTTAACTTATTAGTTACAGCAACATTTTTGTGGTAAAGAGTCTCATTTTCAAGAGAACGAATTACCGAAACGTCGGTAATATTCTACTTGGGGTATTAGCATTTATTTATCATCAATATATTGTCATTCATATGTATGTTGCATGATAGTCTTAATGTTTGCGTATATTATTCACTGGAAAACAGTGTATCTGTTAGCTGTGCTCTGCAAACACATGACTTCTCAGAATGAGATAATGAATGCGCTTGGAATGTTTACACTGTTGGTACTATCGTTCTTATTGTTATACGTACGCCAGTAGTGAGTTTGTGCACGCTTTAGCGGGCAACAATCAACTGCAATCTCGATCTTCTGCGCATGCGCAAATGCACGAAAGTGATGCGAAACTTGAACTGTGTATGCGCGGAAGATCGATAGTGCATTCAATTGCTTTAACGTTGCACAAACTCCCGAATAATAGGGAGGTTGCGCACGCCATAGCGGGCAGCACTATCAA